AATAAAAGCAGTTTTGCGCCTTCCTAACAGCAATGGAAACAACCCGTACGTGGTCAAGCTTCTGACAGCTGTTTCAAAAAAAGGCATTGTTTCTTTATCAGTGCACTAATAAACGCTACTCACCGCTCCTCGTTATTTGAGTAGGCATATGAATGAATTGTAATCTACAGAGAAAAAGTTACCTAAGCCATACAGACTCATTAAGGTAGTCACAGAGCATATATATCATAACTGTTTCACGAAGCAAGCCAGACTCTGAACAAAATGTTCATTCACATCCTGGGCAGAGACAACAGTCTGAGAAAATTATTAATTACATAACACAGATGCAGTTTTCTTTGATGATACTGTTCTCCACTTCCCTGCATTATCACATCAGCACTGATGATTGAGACAGTATGTTTCTTTATAACGCTAGCATCTATCAAGAAATCTAAAACCCAGAAGAACAGCATCACCATATTCACCACCACAAAAACCTCGAATCCCACGTAGATCTACGGGTTTGTACTGCTGGGGGAATATAAAAAGAAATAAATATAACCACTAATATGAAGCCAAATAAATGGTATGGATTTTGATCTGTATATAGGCAGTGCACAGTTTCAATCTTAACTGAAACAGACTACCCTAAATGAGGAGTTTTGTGATCTGCTTCATCACTCCAAGTGAATGATTGGGTAATACCTTCTTCTTAAAAATTCTATAAAAATGTGGGTACATACATTATTCGTGGAAATAGGTGAATATGATATACAGAGGTCAAACTCTAAGAATTAATTTTCTAGGAATGTCACTTCTTGCTGACATATCACCAGAATGAACTGTGGATATATTTCCTACAGTACACACATATACAGACACAACCCATGCACGAAGCTGACATCACCACATTATCCGACCTTTTTTTTTTATTTTATTTTTCATTCATTTAGTGTTCTGTCTGACGACAGGTCCATATGAACAGGATCCTTCCATCCTTTTCTCGGACTGGGACCTGTTCATATACGTTCTTGGCAGATGATCCAGAAGTGGTTTGCCATTGCCTTCTTCTGTGTGTGAATGGAGTAATTGTTGGGATGCCACGGAGGAAAACTCCGTGTTGCCTAGACCACGGCCTTGCCCAACACAAGTTATAAATTCGGGCACCGCCGGGTATCGAACCCGAGACCCCAGGATTACAAGGCCCGCGTTCTAACCCCTAGACCACTAGATCAGTATATATCCTTTCATGGGGGCAGGAGTGTTTAATGAGCACAATGTATTCAGAACACCTTCATACATTGGATGAGCTACAGATCAAAATTCAGAATACTGTAAACACCATACTGACACACATTATCATAAGTGCTTCGTAACATTATTTGTTGTGTATACTTATGTAACATAATGGCCACTACTGTCTCTAATACCATTTCCTTCCATGGGTTGCCCCTCTTTATGGACATCCTGAGGAATACAGAACTATACCTTTAATATATGGTTCTTCTTGATTCGAAAATGTGTGTGTATTACATCCTCAAAGCCTGAACTTGGCCTCTTCAGCTGGGCAATCATGGCATGGCATATTGTTTGCACAAGAATGTTCTCGTTGTAGGACGTGCTCGCATGTTTTCCTTTGTCTGTACCCAGCATAGACTCGTAGCCTGGTTCGTTGAAGTAAGGCTCTGGCACCAGAATCAAGCTTTGTATTGAAACCAGGACCTGTACAGACAAGGCATTCATAATACTGGAAAATGATAATTTGTAACTGATTAAATCTACCTGGCCCACTGCATGGTAGCAAACATATTTCCATATAAATAACATTACACTTTGTAACATGTTCAGTGTGAACTGAGCGAAATGAAGCATATTCATAATAAAAGTAACTAGGCCTTGGCAGAGAATTTTAAATTTTGTCAAAATTTTTTGTTAGCATCTAATCTCTATGACACTAAAGTTATGTTGCATATGGCTACACTGTACAGGGCGAGACTGGGATTGTGTGAACATTACTCTAAATCCGTTCATCTGCAAGGATACCAAGAATTATCAATTAATTATAAATGGCAACATGGTATCTATAGTAACTAATATTAGAAAAATCCCAGCATACATCTATTATACCTTTAAAATTTTCCTACATTCTTTCAGACCAGGATGCTTGGGACACAGATGTAAACAGGATGTCTACATAAGCCATCTAGGTGTGCGACGAAATTTTCACCTCATATTATAATCATAACCATAATGAGATAAATAATTGTTAATCTTGTTTTCTGCTGTCTCGGTTTTAATTTTGTTTATTATGAATGGGCAGTCTGAGAACAGACAAGATATACTGAATGAAATTAGAAAACAACACAACCACTTTGCAGCAAAACATGTATATCTGCCCTTTACTGTTATTGATACTATATATTTTTCTGCAATATATATATACAAATATAAATAAGTATCTTTAAGTTTAAATGTTTACACATAGTTAATAAATTTTGGATCAAGCAGTAGGAAATATTATATTTTAATTTATTTCAAATAATGAATATATTTAATAATTACAAACACCAAACAGAACATTTTTCGGTAGGGGTCGATTTATAAGAAGTTGTCACGGCCAAACAATGCCATAAACCATCTACCTCTCCCACACGATATGCAAAATAAGGTTGGTGTACCACCATGACTCTTCGAAAACATTTAGTGTGCCGCGAGTGTAGTAAGGTTGCGCAACACTACCTTATATGAAAGACGTAGCAGCCAGTCTGTCTGTCTGTATTACATAATGCCCAAAATAGACCTTTCTGTGTGTCCCATAAACTTTAACAGCATAAAATTCACAAAACACTGCAAGGAAATTTAATTCATATTTGGATGCACCACCAGGAAAACCTGAAATCCTGTCTATTATTTTGTTCTTGTATTGCATCTGTACTGACTATCTGGCTGTTGATGCAGCGCACTAATAATAAAGACTCAACTGAATTAAAGAGACTTCAACTGGATAAGTTCACCAATAATAATTATTTTAATATTACCCTCACACCTATGCGTCCACTCTCCACCTCTGAAAAGTTGGAAACTTCTACCAGACTACATGGTGTAATAACCCAGAAGACAGTCATCTTCAAATTATGGATTCTTTGAAACAGGGTTTGTTCTACTGCCTATTATTAAAATTACATTCTTGACTCATCTTAACAAATTAAAAATACGGTTGCCACATAAATAAAACTCCCAACATGGAATGGCACTATTCACAAAACAAATATTTTATGCCAAAACATTATAAGAAATTCAAGATAAAATTTCAAACACATTTTCTCAAACTGTTACTGGGAACAACATTAAGTGAAGTTTGCAAAACAAAGAAGATGCAGACACAAACTACATACACAGTTGACAGAATAAACAATTAAAAGATAAATCAAAGACCATACAGAATGCAAGTCGATGGGATCCCTGATATCATAAATACTTATGTTTCTAGAGGGGGTGTAGTAGTAGTGGCAGTGGTAGGCCAAGGAGGAGCTGAACGACAAACCAACTAAACTTTGAAAGAGGCTTCCAGTACTCAACAAGCAAAACAAATTGAATATGTTAAAGGTTGAGTTCATCTCAATACCTGCAGCAGGGTGGAAGTTTCGTGCCAGTGTTCCCCTTGTAAGCCCTTCCACGTGCCCAAGAGAGAAAGACACACCGTGCCACAAGCGTAGAGATTGGGATTGAAGCGGACCTGACCCAGGCCTGTGGTGCATAAGTGCACTTGCGGTGGTGATGTGGGATACTGCTGTGGAAAAAATATGTCGAACTGGAAGCAACCACCAGAGTAAGGCGTCCCTTCCGGTCTGTAAGAGCAGACAATTGAGTCAGTCACAGAAAAAATGCACTGTTGTAAAAGGAGGAAAAATCATTATAAAAACTCTACCAGCATATGTTAGGTGTGCATATAAAGCTCCCCCCCTCCCCAACAGAATATCCCACAATCTCATATCTCCAAATCATGATTAATTAAAATTCAAGCACTGTAATGAAGTGTCTAATTTATCACTAAGCCTACATAAAACTGACAAACACTTATACAGGTTTATAAAGAAAATATTTATAAAAATGCCATGATGTTCATAAATGACAGTTATTTCTATGGTATCTGCATAAACATCACTATTTTCCTTGCACATTTGCAAGAAAAATCAACTCAACACACTTCAACAGCTGCTGTTTCCATTACACATTTCCAACTTGCTGATAACATTTCTCAAGTGACCAGCAGTTTCAATTCAAGGCAGAAGTTCAATGTTTTGGAGGCCATGTATGTCATATTTCCACTGGCCTGTGAAGAGTGAGCAGTCATGTGGAAAAACAACCAAGCACATCAAGCTCATTGTTCATACCCCTGGAAAGTCATACATAAATTCTGTGTAACTTCAGATATGAAAAAATAATGTTGTGCACTCTGACTCAACCTTCCAGGTGCAGCCAACATTGAGCTCGATAGTTCTTGAGATGGGTTAATACTTGACTCTGTCCACACTCCTTCACAGGTCTATGTTTGACCTCAAAGATGGGACCTTTATGACGTATATATACCAACCTACATTGGTCACTCATCACATCATTCCCTGATCACAGAGGCAGAGGATGACTCTGAAACACTAGATGCTCTAAACTGAAAAGGCTATTGCAAGAGAAGATTCATCGCTTTTATTGTCACAATGAAAGCTTCAAGTGAAGAAGCATCAGGGCGATGAGTATGAAGATTTCAGTCTTCTGGGTTGTTGCGCTGTGTAGTCTGGTCGATGTTAACCAACGTTTCATCCTGATGATGACGGAGGCAGTATGACCTCTGAAACGTTGGTTAACATCAACCAGACTACACAGCGCAACAACCCAGAAGACTGAAATCTTCATACTCACCACTGTGAAAACCTCAAATCTTACAAAGCTTCAAGTCTTTATCTTCTCATTCACATACACAGGCAACACCATGTTTCAGTTTGTAATGTGTGGTCTCCTTATAGGCAAACAATAACATTTTATAACCTGAAATCTTGTATTAACAAACGTTACTGAGTGCGCATAATTTCCCCTAGTATACATTTTATGTTAAGTTTATCAGATACAATCCCAAAATGTCATGTTGTTGAGATATGCAAACAATATTTAGTGCAAAATCTGTCTACTTATAATCTACCTCCATACTAAATTTCAAATTTTTTACACGATGGCCAAATTATTACACACACACACACCTGAACAAAAGTTGTATACTCTGCAAATACTTATTATCATACAAATTTTCAGGACTCTGTATTAAGTGGTAGCTTACTAATGTCACTCCTACCTATCAAATTAAATTAAAAAGTACAACAGTTGGATGGCCCGTAACGGCAAGAGAGTAGTATAAAAACAGACTATATTACCACACTAAAAATTTAAGTTATATTAAAAAACTTCTCTGAAAATATTTGTAGCTTACATAAATAAGCTTCTTAATACCAACAAATAAAAGTAAGACCAACTTTTCATCAGAGCAAATGGAAACTAGAGAGTGTTAATTTTCTGTATCATTACTAAAACTGGTACTAAAAAGAATTTATAAAACAGATATAAGTGTGCTTTCCTTAGCACTTTCAGGGCATGAACAGTGAACTTTAATGACTTGGACAAACCTTCCCTGCTCATGTTGCTGAGATGAAGATCACAATTGCTTCCCTGATATGGTTTGTGAATCTTACTTCAGCTTTTGGACAGGATGCTGGTGTTTGGTCTAAATTTATATCGTAATAACTCACAACCGATTTCTATGAATGGGAGACAAAAGTAACTAGGACTCTGACATAGATTTCTATGGAGTGGCATATGTATAGTGATCCATCCTGATAAAGATGCTGTTTCTCATACGGCTTGATCTATAGGCTGAGGAACTGGTGTATTGTAAAAAGTATGGTGTCCCACAAGGAAGAAGGCTTCACCTTCAGAAAGTCATGGAATCTGGTCATTCATGCACTGAAGGTACAAAAGTCACACTCAGATGACAAGAACATTCACTTTCTCTCCGGCCCTGATACGGGACTCTTCTTTTCCTGATGCAACACAATGTATTTCCTTCATTCCTTATCCTCCTCAACATGTCCTCCCACGTCCCTCATCTCTGACGATGCACCCACCAGATCCTGAGGGGCCCTTATAACAGCTGCTTTCTCAGACCTCTCTCCACCTCCTGCCAATCAAATTGTGGCATGCTCCCTCCTCTCTGACTGGATCCAAGAGCGCTAACCAGATCCTAATCCCCACTGGTCCGGCCAACGATTTGCCTTAACTGACTAGTTCCTATAACTCAGTTTGATTCCACATGTGCAACTTACTCGCTGCTCTGATGATTGAGGCAGCAAGTGGTAAACTTCCACCAGACTACATGGTGCTATAATGAGCCGGGATAGCTCAGTCAGTATAGTGACTAGCTACGGGCTGGACGGCCGGGGTTCGATCCCCGACGGGGGCAGAGGATTTTTCCTCTAGCCTCTGCGTCCAGACCGGCTCTGGGGCCCATCCAGCCTCCTCTACAATGGGTACCGGGGTCCTTTCCCGGGGGTAAAGCCGGCCGGGGCGTGATGCTGACCACTCACCCCCATCTAGTGCCGGGGTCAAGGAAGAGAGGAGCTATACCTCCACTCACCCCAAACGCCTACATGGCGTATAGTGGGACAAACTTTACTTACTTTACATGGTGCTATAACCCAGAAGACTTCTTTGTACTCACTGACAAGAGAACCTCAAATCCTACCCTGTTTCTACTGTTCACTTTCTGGTGCACTAATTCTTGCTTCTCAAACTCTTCCATTTTATGGGGTAAGCAATATTATTTAAGAACCACCAACAATCACAACATCTAGTGTTCAACATAACAAAGTGTGTGGATAACATGCAAAAATGTATCTTGGTAACAAGTACTCAAAATCTATGTAGCCAAAAATCAGGATTTTTTACCAACATTCAAATATGCATTCAACTTACCCTATTATAAGTGCTCTCAGTAAAGTGCATCTTGCATCATCCTATGAAACATAAGAAGAGCCAAATTAATAATCTCCGCATATAAATCATTATTCTGCGTGTAGATATTTTCATAAAACATAAACATTCAATAAAAACAAGTACGTGTAATTTAGTGACATGGAACATGTATTTACTGAGCACTTTCTTGTGACTTACAAAACTTGTCTAGGTAGAAAACATTAGTGGCAGAGTTTTGAAAATCCAGTCACCACCCACCAGAAGAAAGATTTTTTTAATTTGTGTCAACAGAAACATTAGTAACACATCAATAACAAAAATACGACTTACCATACGAATAAAGATAGATGATGCCAGATCAAGGGGCAGAGAGGTCGACAGCGCACCCATTTCTTGAGCAATCCTCATCACCTGCGCAGAATTTGGAGGGAGGGCCTTTTTAAAATGGGTGCTGAAGTGATGTGCACTTGCACCTTCCACTAAAATAAACAGGCAACTGAAACAGTCTTAGGAGGAAAGTCTACAGCATCTGTGATGGTCGTTTTGATTCTTTCAACCAAAAGCAAACATAGTGCTAAAATAAAATGAAAGCTATGTAACAAAAAACAAATTACACAACAAGCAATGTGGTAACATTCTCATGGCATGTAGGTTAGAAACATACAGTGCAAAATTATAAAAAAAATAATAATAAGGACTCAATGTAGAGGGATGTGAACTACAAACTCTTAGTCAGTCACAGAGATGTTTGTTCTACATATCCACTGCAGCCTCTGTTCTGTGAAATTCTCATTTACCTACTTACACGTAACTGTGAGAACAAAACTACGATACCAAAGAGTACGTTAAAGTCCAGAAAGTCAATTTAACTTTTAACAAAATACCAACTTCCATCAAATTCTTCTTTTTTTTATAAATAATTTATGTCCTTAGGCTTTTGAAGCTGGAGTTCAATGTGTAACTTTGGCTTTCAAGGATGAGCTGCTTTGAAGCTTTCCAACATTTTGGCAAACACTGCAGTTGCCATCTTCAGGGTTTATGTGTGTCTGGGGTTTTAGGAAGCATCACACAGAGCAGGAAGTATGTACGGGATGTGAAGGACATGAGAGGGCTGGTTATAAGCATGTGGCTGTGGAAAAAAGATGACAAAATGGACAAATGATGAGAACAGGTGAGGAATGAAGTTTTGGTGACCACATGGTTAATAGAGAAATAAACAGAAATTTTAGCTACCAACTGGTCACTATAGTGACTAGCTACAGACTGGGCGACCGGGGTTCGATTCCCGACGGGGGCAGAGGATTTTTCCTCTAGCCTCTGCGCCCACCCAGCCTCCTGTCCAATGGTTACCGGGGTCCTTTCCCGGGGGCAAAGCGTGGCCGGGGCGTGATGCTGACCACTCACCCCCATCTGGTGCTGAGGTCAAGAAAGAGTAGGAGCTATACCTCCGCTCCCCCCAAGCGCCTACACGGCGTGTAGTGGGACAGCTTTACTTTTTTACTTTACTTACAGGTTGGGAGATGAAAAAGAGATAATGTAAAATACTGGAAAACCTTCAAAATTAGATGCAACTCATGCTCAAAAGTCAAAGTTATATAACTTTATAGTTTTGTTCATTCTCTGATGTCAGAATCACAAGATACAGATGGACAATAATAATTAACCACACCAAAAGACTGGCAGCAATAAACCAAACTGAAGCATGTGTAAAATCACTGCAAATTCAAGTATTACTGACATCAAACATACATATAGTATATACTGGGTTGAACGGAAAGTTTTTGCATTTCTCAAATGAAAAGTCACAACCATTTTTTTTTTGCAAAATATAATTACAATATTTACTCCATTATATAATTTCCATTGTTTGCTATTACCGTCTCCCAGTGAGTCACAGGCTTTTCAATTCTGGGCTTAAAAGAACTTCTTCGTTTTGATTCTAAATACCATCGCTGACCTCTTCGAATCTTTATAATTTCTTGTTATTTGAAATGTTTTGCAATGATCTGAACAAATGATAATCAGATGGTGCCAAGTCCAGGAAATATGGCAGGTAGTCTAAAATTTCCAAATTCAGTTCCTTTATTTTTTTGCTGCATCACTGAAATGACATGGGGATGGGCGTTGTCCTAGTGAAAGACACCTCCTTTTCTGTTGACGAGATGTGGACGTTTTTCTTTAAGGCATTCGTTTACTCAGTCCAATTGCTGGCAGTAAACTTCTGAATTTATGGTTTTGTTAGGTTAGAAAACACAGAAACGTTCTGTTCAACCCAATAAATCATGTTATCATGTGACAAACACTCACCCTCAATGTCACAGCTCAAGAACTGCAAGTCCTTAAGCGCTTCCTTGTATGTTTGGGCTAAGTTCTCATCAGAGTCCAGACTCCCTGCTGTAGGAGACTGCTGTGAAGTGGATGGTGACTGAGCTTTATCACATGTTGCAAGGAGACCTTGGTTTTCAAGAGCTCTTGAAACGGCTTGACCCATCTGGTAGAAGTCTCGAGCCAGTCTCTCCTCTTCTGGCGCTTCAACGGAGACTGGATTACCGCAAAAATTCTTGTTACTGACCTTCACTGATGAGCAGTTACTCGTTTTCTTGTCTGCTACTGCAGTTGGAATATTTCCATTTGCAGATGCTTTGGAGAGTTGTATTAAAATAGCTTTTGCTTTCTCTTCCAATCTGCTTACCAAGGTGTATATGGACTGCACTTGGTCTGGCAGACTCCACAACAAGCTAACAAGTTTTGGTCTTGATGCAAACTCACCAATAATATCAATAACACAGCGATAAACTGCTGTATGCTGACAAATTTCAAGGAATGTATCCACTTGCAGCTTTGATTCTAGGAAAGGCACAAGAGTGGAGGCCTCCAACACATTGAACAGATCTTCTGTGGGGTCTATGGCGGTTTTACCATTTTGTTGATCGGACACTCCTGAGATCCACTTATTTGGAGTAACCACTTTCTCATTCAAGGACTCAAGTTCAAGCATTTTGCAATCTTGTCCATATTCACTATGGACAGTATCAGATTCCAAACTCACGAGACACTGCTTCTTTGGTGGTGCAGCTACATGATTACTGCCATGCACTGCCTTATGACTGGCACTGTATTCCTTCTCTGTCACTTCCATCAGTGCTTGGTTTGAACTGCAGGATGGGACTGTGAAACTGGTATATGTATCATCAACACCAAAGGGTTTTTTAATTATTACATTCAGGTCACGGTTCGGATCTGAGCCTTTTCTGAGTTCTTCAAGGATTTTTTGCAACACACATTCTATTTGCTTGTCTTTCTCCCTCTGAGCAGCCAGATATGCATTTATATCCCACCCTTTATGAATAGAGGAGCTGTAGCCTGTCCCTGCAGGAAAGCGAGACTTCACTCGACATTTGTTCTTGTCACTGTCGGGCACATAAGACATCTGTGTTTCACGTTCAGTTCCTTGGAATCGCAGGTTAGCACGTGAAGGAATTTCACTCACCCATGCTAACCAAAGAAGATAATTTTCCATTTCAATATAAGACCCCTGAGGGAAACGCTCGATATCATTGCGCTCACTGTCCAAATCAAGTCTTGCCCATGTGCTTAAATAATCTTTAATCTCTTGCAAGACAGATTTCATATCTCGTGCAGGATTCCAATGGGACAACTTCAGCATGTCCATACTAGAAACACGCAACATCATGGAACCTTGCAGTCGTGGCCGGACAACCTTCACAACTGGGGGGTAGAAAGGATACAGGTCCATTGTAAAAGCAAGTTGGAGTTCTACACAACTGTACCCATATTTATGGTGTAAGTGTTGTAGATCCTGATTCAATTTTCCTTGAGGATCAAATGAAGACAGGAACACTGCCCACTTATAGATATTATCATCAATAGGTTCTGCACTGATACCAGTCTTGTGTTTTGACTCCATAATAGCAACTAAATCATTAGTTAATATTCCAGATGCCGCAGAGTTGCTGAAAATTTGTTCTGGATGATCCTTGACATTTCCATCAAACATGTCAGACATTTTTGGTTGCTTGTTAGCAGCTCTCAATTCTGCTTCCTTCAAGCGCCATCTTCTCTTTTTCTGACATAATACATATTCCCAATCTTCCCCCTCCGTAAAGTCACCATCAACCATCATGAAATCTTCACCTGAACATCCCTCGGGCTCTGAATCAGAAGAACTTAAACAGGGTGACCTGTTTGGTTCCTTGTTACAGTAAAGAGATGCTGCTTTCTCCAATATGGCATCAAGAGATAACATTATGTCAGCATCAAGAATAAACTCATTTAATGCATTGCACCAAAACTGAAGAGATGATGTAGCCTCAACAAAAAAATTATCTTCATAATGAGGATAATCTGATGGGCAAAAGAGCGTAAAATCTTCATCAGCTCCAATACTGAATTCCAAGCAAATACGACCATCAGCACACACTGACTCCTGTAGTAATTTTATAAGATTATTCCTCTTCTGTGCCCAACTTATAAATTCAGTCAGCAACACAGACTTGGTATCACAGGCATAAGCTTCCATTTCACTGCAACATCCTTTATCCTCAGTATCCATGTTCATTATGTCCATGTCAAAGAATAAGTTATCTCACACTACGACGCAATCAACAAACATCAAACAAAATCTGGAATCACAAGAAAGGTTATGGAAATTCTGGGAAGCAAATACTGACATATTTAAATGTGGTTTATTTAATGAAGCCATCAGCAACTCAGATCATATAGCCACCAATTCAATAACGTAATCATTCACAAACTATAAGGCAGCGTTGAAAGAAATAATGAACCAAAGTACTCAAAAGGTATTTCACATGAACCAACTGACAAGTTTTACAGTCGATGTCCTACCCTGGATATGTGACTCTGCCCACCACATAACCCACTTAAAAACACAAAATTGCATTATACCAATATCGTCACATTCACCTTGAATTCTTGAAAGGGCTTACTACTTCGATTTAGACATTAAAAATTAACTGCATTTCTGCAACTACCTATATTAACCTTCCATTGTTTTATAGCTCGAACCTTTCACTCACAGAGTGAGCTATGTCTTTACTTATGGCACAGCGATGCTGTACCAGCTCCTCTGTAACTACTTTGCATGTAATTCCTCATACCATAAATGTTTGTCATTACAATGTTATCCCAAGACAAAGGTCACAATGCTACCCTTCCAAATATTAAACTGGATTTCACGCAGCTGGGTTCTCTTTGAGACGCCAAAGTCACGCATCCAATCAAAAATTCCCCACAGAACATGAAGGTTAACAAGAACCTGTAACCTATCCCTATCACGAGCCAGATGAATCCACATCACAATCAAACACTACCGCAAGATCCAGTTTAATATCATGCTCCCATCCACGCCTACATCTTTAAAGCGGTCTCTTCCGTACGCATTTGTGAGTGAGCGAGTGCCACAACTGCGACATTTGTGAAGATTTTCAGTACTGAACGCGTGGAAACTAATACTTTGCTCCTAACAACAAACACGCAGAATTTAGAATGCCTAATCATTATACAACTCACAATGCATAATTGCTACCAACTTCACTGCTGTATAACTTTATAAAAAGTTGATAGTTTCTTATTATGGAGCACAATAATAGAAAAGTATCATTCCCATTACTTTATTTGGACTGATTTATATTTTTCATGCACCACTTTGGTGGTCAAGACCTAGTCTTGGATCAAGGTAACAAATAGTTTAATTCGCAATTACCACAGCTACAGATTCCACATACACTGTGCAAGCACCAGTCCCAGTGTAAAAGATACAAGCATGTCGTGTGATCGTACGTCTTGTAAGTACCAGAAGCACACAGAGCATCAAGAGGGGAGAATCAGGCACCTTAAGCAGGAATTAAAGTCAGCTAGAAAAGAGATTAACAGACTCAGTATTAGGGAGCAGAGCAGCAAAGTTTAGAAACTAGGATTAAACCAAAGAATTCAAAATGTAACTGCCTTGGATTCTCTGCCGGTCTGGTGCTCCTCAAGTTCAAATGAACACCAGATTAAATATGCTGGGAACAGACAAATTGGATGTTGGTCAGGAAAGTCCAGCTTTTTTGCCCCATGACTGCTTCCTGGTAATAATTAATGAGAAGTGGTGGGGGGGATAACTTGCATAAATGTGATATCATCATCATCATCAGTGGCTCTACAATCCGGTGTGGGTCTTGGCCGCCTCTGACGTTTCTCAGTCTTTTGAAATGTGCATTTGTGAGTACTGAGTGACAAGCCCACTGCCTCTTCACAAGTTCTACTAAAACCCGCCAGAGCCATCTAGCAGTTAATCGGGAGACTTGGATGAGAAATGGCTGCTGAATTTTGCTTACGAAACATTTCGATCATTCTCGTAAGGTTCTTTTACATGCTGTAAATCTACAACATGGGAGTCGGCTTTACTTCCCCTCTACATTTAAATTTCGCGCCACCGCGCACGCGCGTAACAGCAGCGCGTCAAAGCAATGGCGCGGTATTCACCATGCAACGGTGTGCGCTGGCCAAGCTACGAGAGGGCACACACACACGCACTCAGTTTATTGAATACTTACATACGAACTTTCCATGGCCTACTATGTACATGTACTAATATACATCGCAGGAAAACAGACGTTTCACTGCATTAAATCGTACTATATTCTTTAATTAAGCAGACAGATAATGATTTTAAATTTTATATGCTGCTTTGTTAGACTTTTCAATAAAAATCCATTTTAAGCATTACTTACATTTTCCAGTCATTTTTGACGGGTGTTTCTCTAGTATATTTTATATTAGGTATCAAGCAGAGCTCGCAGAATGCGTACGATAAAATAATGTACAAAATTATGCACTATAAATGTGCTTCTAGCTCCTCGGAAATTATTCTTTCGCTGACTTCTCAGCGCCTAACCCACGCTCTCCGCTGCAATGCACCGGTGAACACCGCGCCACTGCTAGGCCGCACTGTCGTCAGACGCATGCGCGAATTTTAAACGTACATTCGAATTTTGAGCAATATTTTCGCACCCTTGCACAGCGTATCAGCAGCTGAAATTTTGTGTACAATTATTACTAGATGGGCTCTGTGGACGAGCAAAATTTCAGGTGAGGTGACCAACCAGACCACCTTGTAAGCGGTGGAAGTAAGGCCGGCGCAAACTACATCGAAGAGAACCGAACAGAACCGAACCAGCAAAAATACTTCCCGATCTTATTTTCTCAAATGTTTCGCAACGGAGAACTCAATTCAGATCTGCGAGGTATTGTTCGATACCCAACCTCAATCAAATGCTCTCAAATTAAAAAATACATTTTCCATTTTACAAACACCAACATCACGTCCACCACCGGACCGCTGCTGCTGTGCGGTGTCGACCAGCGGCACCTTGGACGTTAAGCAGTGGACGGTTACAGAATGGAGCGCATTTCAGTTTATTCAGACAATTATACAGCCCACAGATTACTTATAAAAATAAAATGAATTCTTTGCAGCTCGCTCAAAAGCTCGAACAAAGTTCATGGATCAAGAAATCTAAAGTGATAGAATTATCTTTCGTAATAGAGGCCCCATTTATCGCGCATTTCAGTTTATTCAGACAATTATACAGCCCACAGATTACTTATAAAAATAAAATGAATTCTTTGCAGCTCGCTCAAAAGCTCGAACAAAGTTCATGGATCAAGAAATCTAAAGTGATAGAATTATCTTTCGTAATAGAGGCCCCATTTATCAACCATTTGATGCCGAAGCTCGTCTAAATGTCACTGGAAAAATTAAGTCCGTACCGCACAGAAAACACTATACTTCACCATTACAAAAATCAACCTGTTAATACATTTAAAGGATATTATAACTCTTTACCCTGAGAATCAAACGAATCCGACAAATGCATAATCAAAAGCTACTGACTGTTAAAAGCAGGCAAGTGGTATATATACTTACCACCAGGCTTTCAAGGGTTTAAACAGTTTCATCAAGAATTTCGGCTACTAACATGTCTTGTTGCTTTAGAAATTCGAATCCCACACGGTTTAACGGAATTCTTTTATTATAAATGATGCCGTAAACAAACAGAAATCAATGGAATAAAAAATTGAATTCGTGTTCCAAGATTTCACAAATGTAAATGAAAACCTGCAAATGTTATAAGCAATAATAATAATAAATAGGATGCACTTACCTCACTCTTGGAGAGAGTGAAGGACAAATCACGAATTTCTTAGTAATTTACAGAAGATACGTACTTTGGTTAATGCGAAAGACTTTTAAAAGCACAAAAGTATCTCGTCTACGACACACTTCTACAAGCGATTTACAGCTCAGCTATTTCCACAATTACGAAAGCGGATTGTCGACGCCTTTACTAATGCGACAATGCCGAAGGAAACTATGACTCAACAATTAGTAAAGGATTGGAGCGCAATACGGTTTATTCAGTCTATTATACTGCATGCATAAGAAACGAGAAATGACCCTTACGGCATGCTCAGTCAATATTGTTGCTGGTGTGGTTTAGAAATTCCAATACTTCTTATTACATTGTTGTACAAGCAGGTGTTCATATAAACGCTGACCATTGTCGTTCTATATTTACACATTCCTTTTAGTTAAAAATAATACAAAGAGAATTACTCAAAGATATAATTTGGTTACATTCCATCCTAACTGTAAAAAGCATAAATTAAAATTAAATATTTTCTCTATAAGGAAATAAATTTAAAAGCAATGAAAAGATGTATGAAGAATTTCTTTTAGACGTAAATACGTCAATGAATTCGGGAAAACAGCGATAGGAAAATGTGTAAGATTCATATCAAGAATGTGTAAATATGGACCGACAATGGTCACCTTTTATGTGAACTCATGCGTGCATTGTTATGTTACCTAAGAAACTAATTGTTACGTCATCTGTTTATTCGACATTGTTGTTTCATTATTGCCGTCAACAATCGGCTTTCGTTATCGCGGAAAAAGCTGAGCTGTGAATCGCTTGTAGAAGTGCGTTATAGACTAGAAAATTTTGGCATTACATTTCATTCAGCTACCTTCCTTTCATTGTATTTATTGCTTAAATATAATTTAAATACAGAGACGTATTTAAATCAGATTCTCCGGAACCATGGTTCCACTGTCAATTTTTTTTTTTGATCATGGAACACGTACACGAAGTTTGTAAAGATACTTCTGACTCACCCTGTACATGCACACACTTTCTGTATAATTTAAGAGGCTAAGGCTGATGTGAAGTTCTTCATTATTTCTAAAATTGAAGCAATTTCATCACTTTTACTGCAGATGAGTTTAAAATGCCAGTCTCTCATGAAGACATCTCAGGCTGTCATGGTGAATATTCTAGCCTACCTCTATTTGTCTTTAGTAAGAACACAACAGATTTCTTATCCAGAAGTGACCCATGATTTATGATTTTATTCATATGCTGTGGTTAGAACTGTGACCATGGGATTTTCACATTGAAAATTTTTTCTGACATACTCTAGCAGATCTGCACTTTTACATGATTCATTCACAAAGCTGTTCAACAGAACACTAAATCACACCCACTTACATAATTGCTAGTTTTCCTGACCGGATTACACTACTAGTTGTAGCTCCCCAATTTCCTCACGATGCTGGTCGAAAGCTCATGAGAAAATTTCTTCTCCCCCGAGACTCGAACCAGCGCGCATTCTGTATCACTGGTCTGAAGCACAATGCCTCAGACCGCGCGGCTACGGCGCGAGACAGTAATGTAATGTATGTCTCCATAAATAAAAAGCTCATAACCTTTTTCAAATAGATTTTAACTTATAAAAATATCAGAAAGAATCCACTGCTGGTGCCCGCTAACTAGAAAACATCCCCGTAACAATACAATACACTTTGGGCACAATATCACAGCACCTCAATGCTACCCCATAACTTTTATATTCATCACCACTCACAGGATATTCAAAAGTATAAATGTGAGGTCATGCAGAATATCACAACCTCCACATCAAATGTCATCAAATCTGTCCAGCAGGACTTGAATTGAATCGACTGGACAGTTGAACGGATGGACATTACCAACCCAAATGACATTCTCCCTAAGCACTTTATGCAAAGAACGCATAATAACCGCTTCTTTCTACACTGTTGAACAAATTAGGAATCATAATCATTTCAGTGGCATTTACTAATAGCACTGGGCCTAAGTCATTCTGAGCATTATTAAAGTGTACTGGCAGAGTTGAACTAGAGGTAGGCTGTCAGTGGCCAATAGCAGGAAGGCACACTATGCCAAAGCTCAAACAATACAATCTATAAAAACACTAATACCTTGAAATCTTAAAACTTTGCATACCGTGTAGTGTATTAGAATATAAAATAAGCAAACAAACAAACCATTAACACTATAAATGGCACTTTTTTTTAGTCGTCAATCCTAGGATTGGTTGGCACCCCATTACGGGGATTTAGTAGCGAAGATACCTTCTTCTTCTTCTTCTTCTTCTTCTTCTTCTATGGCTCTCCGGTCCATGGCCTCCTCAATTCTCCTCTTCCATTTGGTCCTCTGTTAGGTCCGTCCGCTTTGATCGAGGTTTCGAAACATCTTCCTTTTTACGGTGCAAGGTTGTTAGCCTTGCGACCAACCCCCAACCTGAAGAACCAGGGTACCTGTCTTAGTCTGACCTCTCCCCCTCGACCAATCTGGCTAGGGAGGCCCTACCAGTAGCTATGCTACCGCCAGCGAAGATACCACGGTGGATAAATGACACTAGTGTCATTTATAGTGTTAATAGTTTGTTTGCTTATTTTATATACTAAAACCTGTGACCAGTTGTTTAGTTTTCATACATTTCTTGCAGCATTTTCATTGTACAGTCTGAGGTTTAACATCGTACATCTTCCCGCTACTGGCCAATAACAGCCTACTGGAAGCAGGAAAACGCAACTACATAAACTATGAAAACACTATATGAAATGCAAGAAAACTAAATATCTGATCTAAGGTTTGACTGTAAACAATGAACAGTGATAAGAATTGAGATCCCTGTGTCATAACAAACATGACAGACATAATCATGCCTCTCCCAGTGCCTTCAGAAAGAGGCACTTATATGACATTGACACAATCCTGGAAAACAGTAACTTTGTGCATCATTGAATATTGTCTCAGGCAGCAGCTTCATTGACGGAACAGGCGCGAGAGAAACTGCTATTGGAATATGTATCACATCATGATGATGGTGCAGCGGGTGATATCATTTTATGTTCATAACAGCAATATTTTCATGATTGCAGTAAAACAACATATCATTCAACCAACCTTACATTTATATTCAAAACACTTACACATGGTATGTTTTGTTTTATAATTTAAGTGTTGTTTTGTGTAAATGTTATTATATTCTATGAAGCAATTAAAACAATAATGCAAATTCATTTTGTATTCACATTCATAGTGTAGCAAAAACATACAAAAATGTTTTTTAGAAATTTTAAGCAACTTCATAAATACATTTAAACCAGGAAGCAATCCGCTAAGTAGCCAATGAATGAATTCACTGCATGTTAGCTGGAGCTGCTATGAGGAATGCACTAAAGAATCACTGACTTCTGAGAACAAAGTCCTGAGATAGCAGAAGAATGAAAACTTCCGAGAACAAAGCTGGAGGACAGACCCTAATCTTAGGTCCAGACCATTTTTCAACACCAGTGAAAATGCTAATAATCACAAGAATGTAATTATATTTGGGGAAGGAGTGGATGAAATAAGTAAAGAGCAAAGCAGACTGTGATGCTGGTAGACAGTTTCCCGTGACAGGCCATGCCCCCCCTTACCGCCACATAACATTGTGAATTATTAAAGCCCAGCTTATCAAAATTTAGGGTATTTCTAAGTTTGCACCTATCCAAAGTGCCAGAGTACTTTACTGTCTATGGGAAATTTGACAGTTTGAACATCACATCTAGGTAGAGGATATGAGGACAGAACAACTGAAGAAGTAGAAAAAACAAAATTCCTTAACCTACAAACTGACAATTACTCAAGTTGGAAAACACATATTCAATTCATTATCTCTAAACTAAGCTTGTCACGCTCTGCTATGAGGACTGTCACATCACTCATGAAAACATAAACTTTAAAATTAGTCTACTACCATTCAATGTTATATAGAATTATTTTCTGGGGAAACTCAACAGACAGGTACTAAAAGGAGACCCTTATATAGGGAAAAGTTTAAGAAATTTAATATTCTTCCACTAGCCAGCAAATTCTTGCTCTCATTATTTTCACTTGTAGTGGACAACATAGAAAATGTCAAACAAACTCTGACATCCACTACATAAGTACAACATACAGATATAACATTCATATGTCAAACTCAGTAAATACCAAAAAGGAGTATAGTGTACTGGAATTAAGCTATTCAATAATCTTCCCCCCCACTATAAAACGTCTAAATCATGATATACAGAGGAGTTTAAGCCAGCTCTAAAAGAGTGTCTCCCATGTCACTACTCCTACTCCATAAAAGAATTTACCTTAACCAAAAATTCTCACCTGTTATAAATACATGCAAGCAGTAGTGGGTATGCATTCTTGCATAATTATTTTTGCCATAACACTAGTTAATTGTAAGTTACTGTCATAACTATGTAATTTATATTTGCAACAGAAACAAGTATTGTATTTGTGCTATTACATGTTCAACATCTTTGCCTTGGGCCTATGAAAGACGTATGAATGTAAATAAATTCTATTCTGTGTAAATAACAAGGAACGATTCAATTCCACAAAAAAACAGTCGTACTTCTCCTTGGGCATTACGAATAATTTATAAATAATAATAGCATTACAAAAATTCCAATGTGACAATATGACAATGGTACGCATGCACTCGCCATATATTACTTACTTACCACACAAATTTCCTCTTCATCAAATGTTAGGCCATAGATTACTGCGCAATATTAGACACAGCCGATACAACTCACGACAACATATTTAAAACTCTTTTGTACAAAGTTTTTAACGTGAGACACCAACTTTAACACGAGGATGTGCAAAAAAGAGGCTATTTATGCACCACAGTGCAATATACCTGCTCTACTTAACCGGCCATTTCATCCTTTAATTCCCTTACCGTCAAAGGTACGAGAAAGCACAGATTACAAATATAAATAAATTATAACATGAGCACTATATGCACATTTCAGATTTCCTCGCTTATTTCACTCTGATATTGTGTTCTTCATTTGCAATTTGGTATATGGTATAGCTCACAGGGGCTATTACACAGTCTATAACTTTTATTTGGGGAATGAAAGGATTTGTTTTTGTAGATATTGCCGTGGAATCCATAATGCACTGCTATGTGTGTAGCAAATGCGTCTCAGCTCGTAGTAGGCGATTAATATATTCTCGATACGACATTATCTCTGTACCATACTAGTCGCTCCAGGTTTCGTTTCTCTTCCATTCCCTTTGCTTTAGGAGTTGATCTGAGGCGCTGATACATATAAGGCAGCAGTTGGTTTAATCTTGGGTCCTAAATTAGGAACGGCTCTTTCGTTATGTTGGTATGGTGTGTATTTATAGCCTTCTTGAGGAAGGTGGCTTTGAAGCTTTCTAGGGAAAGCATAGATCCGGGGTACATGGCTATTCTTCGATTAAAGACGTTTCGAGAACGTTGGCAGAAGATATGGTTTATTCGCCTTCCAGCCACCTGACGCGGCTTGTAGCCCAAGAGACTTTCATCAACTTCAGTCGCCGCCAAAGCTTCACTTTATACATGGCTATTTTTCTTTGCATCACAAGTAACGATGTGATATCTATCGTGTGATGAAACGGCAGATGCAGTATCTTTTCGAAGATATAGCACTGGCTCTACCAACAGATTTGATGGTAATAGCTGTGGACGGTCAGGCGCATGGTTGTGTTTGCAGTGCATACTTTGATTTCGTCCTCAGATTATTGACCATGGCGTAAAGGGACAACATAACACAACACGGAAAAGAGTTAGCAAGTATTCTTAATCACCCATAGGATAATTAATTTAGAGCTATTTGTTACTATCTGTGCAATACAACATTAAATACCGTGCTCCTTCTGATAGAATGAAGTGTCCACAATGTAGTAGTTTCGGTTCTCACCCCCAGTATACAATCCTTTCTAAGATTTTGTCGTCCATTATCAAGTCCTCGCCTCTGAAACGTCGATAAATTTAATAAGACTACACGGTGCAAACCAAATGAGTGATTATTACATCATTTTGTATTCAACACAAGCACTGAGACGAACAAATTTCTGACAGTAAATGCACATGTTGAACATCTCTTTATTTATAAAACCTTTACTGAAGGAAATAAAATCATTATATTCTAATATACTTTACCTGAATTGCATACTGGCGCCACATGTGGTGGAGGCCACACAGGTACTTTACCTGAATTGCATACTGGCGCCATATGTGGTGGAGGCCACAACAGGCTCAGTTGAAGTAAGAATTTATGCTCGGAGGAAAGATACTGAGAGAAAAGCCGTCTTCAAGTTTCGGTTTATCTGTGTTTGTACATGACCGTTGGTTCTTCTCGGACAATTGTGATGCGGTGCAGTTATTGATCGACCAATGAGAATGATTTGGATTTGTAAATGGCGTCGTTTTGTAGTTCATGTGTTGATATAATCTGAAGTGTATGAGTTGAGAAATTTTGTTACGATTGGCGTAATTCGGAAGGTGTTGTTTCTTACTTTTGCAATATTAACAATCGGACGATTTTATTTTGAAATATGGGTAACGTTATGGCTGCAAGTCAAGCGCCAAGTGGTTTATCGCCGCCGCCTTCCATGCCTCCTCCTCCACCACCCACGTTTGGTTTTCCACCAAATTTCATAAAAGTGGAGGATTCAGGGTCAGAAACACCAACTAGTAGTTCAGTTTCCGATCAGCATCAGAGTCAGAAAAATGGATTGGAAAATCCTGGCTCAATGGAAGAGTTGCATAAAATGTGTAAAGGTAAATATTGGCAGCAGTTTGAATTAATGTAGATCTTTTAGTCCATGATTTTCATCCAGGTTATTATGTTAGTTGCTTTGATGTTCGTAATTTACGTAGTTCTGATGTCACCCCAGAGTGATTGACATGTTTTATGCTAAGTCCACTGTCATGTCTTATGATAGTAGAGTCAATTTTAACAGTCTAAATGGCATTGAAGTTTTTATTTTGTAAAGTAGAGTGTATGTTTTTGTGTTGAGTGTATGATCAGTGATTGCTCTACTAGTATTATCAGCAATAAGAATAGGTATATAGGTTATGTTTATCCTTTCTAAAGATGGAGACAGCCCTTCATGTCATGTAATAGTATACAGAAGTTCCATGAACCAGTTTTTTCACATCTCATCCTCACTCATTTAACTGTGTAACCCCACACATAGAAATCTAGAAGGCGGAGACTTTCTGACTGTGGTGGAAAATTCTGCACATCACTGTAGCTGATTCATTGGTAAGGTAATTGCTCATTTGTTCGTCTATGGTGCAACAGCCCGAAGTTGAGCCTTGGCCACCTCCCATGTGGGAGGTTTCTATGTCTTTAAAGTGTGCATTTATGAGTAGTGAGTGACAAGCCCACTGCCTATGCACAATTTCTACTCAATCCTGATTTGTCTGCTAGGGTCATCTAGTAGTGAATCAGGAGATACTTGGATAAGAAATGGCCACTGAATTTTGCTTATGAAGCATTTCATTCATGCTCATAAAGTTCTTTTACATGCCATAAATCTACATGGGACTGCCAGCTTTACTTCCCCTCTGAAGGAAGTTGGGCTATGGATTTTTATCACCCTTAAAAATCCATTGACCTCAGCCAGGTTTGAACATGCAAACCTTGGGTCCAGTGGTGAGCACACCAACTACCAGTCCACTGAGGGCGACAATTGCTCATTTAAAGAATGCATAATAAACCAAGACCCAGATTTTTGGTATAACCTGATGTCTGAAATTTGTTTGCCAAATGTATGTTCCACACAAATTCTTCGCCTTGTTTGGAAGACTTATCATCACCACCTAGCCACCAAAAGTATGGCATGGCAAGATATGTATGCGGTACATATCAGATATTTATTGATTCCAAATGTAAGGGATTTCTCTTGGTGTCTGTGACCTGGCAAAATATTTATATATGCATCAGTTTTGTTGGATTGCACAGACATCTCAGAACTTCATAATTATGTCATTCATGAGTATGTCACCTTGATTTCAGCATTCTACAGAAATTTGACTTGTTGCTTTGTAATAACATACTAATTATTGATATTTTTCTGTGATTTTTTTCCAGATGTTTTCCCTCTTATATTTGAAGGTGCAAAGCTAATCATAAACAAGGGTTTGAGTAGCCATTTTCGAGTTTCACATACAATCACCATGAGTTCGGTAACACCATCTGGTTACCGATTTGGAGCAACGTATGTTGGAACAAAGCAAATGTCTCCAAGTGAAGCTTTTCCTGTGTTGTTGGGTGATATTGATCCTAGTGGCAATTTGAATGCTCACATTGTTCACCAGATCGGACAGCGTGTTAAAGCCAAATATGTGACTCAAATACAGAATAGCAAATTTGTAGCAGCTCAGTTTGGCACCGAGTATAAAGGAGATGATTGTACTCTGTCCTTAACTGCAGAGAATGTAGATATTATCAATGAATCAGGTATGTTAAACATCATTGAACACTTAGGATTAAGATACTTTCTTTCCTGTCGCTGGTGTCGTTCACATACAGGTGTCTGAGAGAGAACTCCGGTGTTTGATGGCATAATATTTATTGACACAAAAGACAGAAAACATTGCAGGGAAGAAAACTAGGTCACAGAGCCCAGAGTTTTTAGTCCAATGCAACATTGTGTAGGTTTTAGAAAGAAAGTCCATTTGCAGCTATACAAACATTAAGACAGTATTCGAGCTCAGTCCATATCCTCTTCAGCAGTGCAGGTGTCATTACTTCCCCTGCCAGTGTGATTCTCTGCAAAGTGGCCGCCTGACATGTTTAGCACTGCCATCTGCAGTGCTGGGACTTCAGGTGATTTACCTTTCAGAACACATCCAGTTTCCAAGAACTGCTGCTTCAAATGCTAAAAATTTGTACCAGTTTTTATGTCTCTGGATATTCATGATGGCACTTCTGCTGTTCACTCAGAGCAGATTTTCATTTCAGCATGTCAGAACACATAACATTCCTTATTGTTATTTCTCTGGATTTATTCATCATTCATTACAATAAGAATGAAGCTATTATGTTTTGGGAGCTGGCTCTGTTCATGTCTTCAGGTGAAGTTGCCTTTTCTGTTGAGTCTGATGGAAAGTTGAAAAAGAGTGGTTAATTTCAATAGAGATGCCGGAGTTCAGTCTAAGTTGAACATGGAACCAGCTATTGCTTATTTTAATTCATATACGGGGATGGCTGTACATCATGATTGGATGGTCTGGAAGGCATAATGATTTGTCATGAGTGTGAAAAATGAGAGAAGATATTTGTTATGATAATGGCATTTGTCCATAGCAGATACAAATCTGTTTACTATCGAGGAGTATCTCATTGTGAATATGTGGATTCATGAGAAAGGATGAAGTGGCCAAAAGTATGATGAAATATGAGTGTGATGCTGATGAGGATGGAAGGCTGCCATAAATATTGGCCCACATTTATTAATAAATTGATCATGATATGGACGTGTGGCTGCAAGCGTGCGCATCTTAATTTCATACCTTCCCAGCATTACATTCACTGTTTAATGTGCGGTACATCTCAAGGCAAGGTCATGAATTATTTATATGTGGGCTAAACAAAACCCACATCCCTTTGAAGAAGTGGCGCGGTATCTACCCCAAGTTGTACGAAAAGAGAAGTCAACTAGTGTCAAACATTGACCTGAAATTAAGAAACATTTTTCTGAAGTTATATGTTTGGAGCACAGCGCTATACGGAAGCGAAACACGGTCAGTGGGAAAGGATAGGCGAAGGAAGAAGTCTATGGAAAATTCTTACGAGAAGAAGAGATAGGATGGTGGGACACATTCTGAGGCACCCAGGATTAGTTAATTTGGTAATGGAAGGAACAGTTGAAGGGAGGAATTGTAGGGGGAGACAAAGATTGGAATATGTGACGCAGATTTTTGAGGATGTGGGCTGCAAAAAATACGCGGAGATGAAGAGATTGGTGCAAGATAGACGAAAATGGAGGACCGCATCAAACCAGTCGAAAGACTGATGACAAAGAAACAAACAATGATCGTAACAATACCAGTCAGTTGGATGACAGAGTGTTATGTGATGAGAGGTGTGACATCCATTTCATGATGTGCATTATCATTGTCATGTTCCTTTGTAATTAAAATGTTTTCATACTAAACTCCTTCTCTTATGTTATACCTTATGATCATGACATGTAGCCATCCCTGCACTTCTGTTTTCCAACTTAAGTTATATTGTGTTATGTCAGCTCTAAGATGGATGACTTTTAACCAGGGCTGTGGAGTCAGAATCGGAAGCAATTTTAGGTGGAGTTGGAGTTGGTAAAAATGTACTGACTCTGACCTCGATATAAAATCTTAAGAACAATTTCTATACCGCGTGAGCCGCCAGCGGCCTCACGCTTAGGGAGATTCAATGACCCGTTCAGCCACATGGTGTGGGAATAATTCTTTGTAACTTTGGCTCTGGTACTTTAAGAATACGAACTGTCTACAAATCAGCTGATTTCTGCAATAACCATTAGACTTATATTTAAATGTAGATTATAAGTCTAATAAGTAGCCTGATGGTTCACGTGGGGGTGATGAAATCTCTTATGGTACCATTTACCATTTTAGTAGGTTTACCCTTATTAATACATATTTAGCTTTTATGAAGGAGTCGGAGATTTTACTACCGACTCCACAGCCCTGCTATTAACACACAGCCTCACTTCCAGGGAAAGCAATATTGAGCTAGGTAATTTCTGGCAGGGGTGTGCTAGGATTAACATATTTGTTTTCATTAATAAAAGATTTCAAAATATTTTTTGTTTGCTTGCATAGTCTGGACTATTTGTGTTTAGTTCAAAATATTATCCAGTTTTTAAACAATACCCTCACAGTTCTGACTTGGAGAAAACATGTCTCCATGAATTGTCTGTTCACTACCAAATTAAATATCTCCTTACACTCAGCCACAGGTAGAAAGTCACCTACATGTGGTGTCTAGACGGACAAGAGAAATTTGGTGAGCCATCCAAGGAATTGTCACATGTTGGTACTTGGATGGTACTGGTAAAGTAAAGTAAAGTTTGTCCCACTAACGCCATGTAGGCGCATTGGGGGAGTGTAGGTATAGCTCCTACTCTTTCTTAACCTTGGCACTAGATGGGGGTGAGTGGTCAGCAGCACGCCCCGCCCGGCTTTACCCTCGGGAAATGACCCCGGTACCCATCAGATAGGAGGCTGGGTGGGCCCCAGAGCCAGTCTGGATGCAGAGGCTAGAGGAAAAATCCTCTGCCCCCACCAGGGATCGAACCCCGGTGATTGAAATTGATTAATTTAAACAGATGCTTAAAAAATTTCCTTTTAGATAAGGTGTACACAAAACTTACTTTTCTTCATGAATTTCTGTGGTAGGGTTTCCATCAATACAAGAAGCTACACAAACTGAGTGAGTTACATTCCTATTAAAATGTTGTATTGGTGTAATTGTTTTGTTGAAGCAAATGGAGAACTGCTGGTGCAAATTGATTTTGATAAACGTTATTATGAATTCCAGGTATTTTTGTTGCACATTACCTCCAGGCCATTACTCCAAGTGTTGCATTAGGGGCAGAGCTTGCTTATCAGTATGGCCCCAGTGTTCCTGGTAGAGAAATCGCAATTCTTTCAGCGGCTGCTCGATATTCAGGTAGGTTTGTCTGCTAGGTTTCTTTGGATGCGATTTATCGTCCGGTTTATAGCTCTGAAATTTCTTTTAATATTCTCCGTCATAATAGATACATTCTTGGGTTGTATGTATAGTCCATGTGATTTTGGACTGATTATGCACTGGTATGCTACGTGAACATTTATTTTAATGTTTATTCTATTGACTATACACACATATGCCATCTCTGGTGGCAAGGAAGGGTTGTTCTTTACTTTGCTGCCATTCTCATTCTCTAAGAGGCATCTGCAGCTGTGTGGCGTGCTTATTAAAATTTGCTCTGTTTGTCCGTACACATGAAAGAACTCAAGAATGGACAAAGCAGTTTGATTAAAATTGATATTGGAGAATTTTACAAAAAAAATAATTTATGACCTTTTGCAGCGCATATATTTCTAAGTGTTGGAAAAGTTCTTGGTGAAGTGACTTATACTTTTCTGCCTTGAAGTTTTTGTGAAAATTGGCGGTCTCTGCTTTGAATGCTCTTCGTTTCATGATCCCGTTAATTTGTGGGCCCACAAATATCCTGTCTTTGATTGTAGTCTTGCCGTTCCTTGTAAATCTCTGTTGCACGTAGAGGATCCCATTGCCATTTTGATCCACTGCCTTGACAGACAAGGAAAGTTTTTTTGGATGAACTATCGGTTGACCTGTGAGTAAAGACGCTCGTGTCCTTTTCTGTACCATTCTCATAGAAACTGTATTATTTCATATAGTCTGGTTGTCAACAAGGGAGAAGTGCTACCACTTTCAAGAGGCCACAGATATGCTAAAAATATTTGTTGTATTGGATATATTTCTCAAGGTGATGATGCATTCTGTCATTTGATTCCTTCATACAAATTCCGTATGCTATTGGAAATAAAGGGTATTTATTTTTAATATGAAGGAACACAGCTTTTGAATTTACCTTCAAGTAATCAATAAATGGGCATAATTTTTTTGGATTATGTTATTGGCCAAGGACTTCCATGAGAAGTCTGCCTATTTATCTTTTATTTCATCTTTAGGTCTGTTCAAGGTTTCTGTCAAGGAGTTGAATCAGAGATGTAATGTACAGAGGTAGAAAAATTGATGCAGTATACTGAAAGTTAAGGTTTCAAAAACTTCTATTTTGTCTTTTCTTGCCCGTTTGCCTACCTCACTTTGGGCAAGTAATATTCGGATGTAGAAGTTGTCATTGAAGCATTGGTTTTGGCATTTTAAACACCTTTAAAACATATAAGGAATTGTTCTTACCTGCCACCAAAGGTTTCATTTTGATTGTTCGAGTCATGTTGCATGTTAATAGAACTAATTCCGTGGTTAACCTTTTACTCTACAAAAGCATTTTTAACAAGATTGGAAATGTGTACTCTTTGGAGTAGACGGACATTGGAAAAGTGTTCTTCACGCCACACCACATGGGTTGTTTTTGCATAATTTGATCAAAGGCCATTGTCGAATCTTCGGTGATTTTACTAATGTGTTTGTAGCATGACAATGGAGACCTCTGTGTTACATCATAGCACAACAGTTGAACCTCTGGTCCAGTAAGAAAAGCACAACAGACAAGCATAGGTTGGACCATAAGGGCATCTAGAAAGTATACATTGATATGCGAGGGCTCTGTAGTATAGCCCCATTTCATCTGTGTTTACGTTGCCAACCAGTACTCAGCCAGTTGTCAGCTTGCAAAGCCCTCTTCAGGGCTGAGGGTGGAGACAATATGTTCCCTTGAAACACTGGTGTCTACTTGCATGTCCATATAACTGTGAATCTTAATTAATGTCCTCCTTCAAGCTTCTAGTTGGAGATTCAGAGTTTCATTCTTTTCTGTCCTTAACAGTTTGAACTCCATCACTTCCATCTTTTGCATTTTCTGTCTGCATCTAGCCTCATTCATGAACATAATTTTTGTTGTAAATTTACAATACTTACATAAACTTTACTATCGTTAGGGTCGCACAGTATTGTGAGTGGGACATTAGGAGGTGCTGGGTTACACATCTGCTACTATCAGCGAGCAAGTGAGCAGCTGCAGCTGGGTGTTGAGCTTGAAACAAATTTCAGGACACAGGAATCTCTGGCATCTCTAGGTTATCAAGTTGACCTACCTAAAGCTGACCTGTGCTTTCGAGGTGAGTAGATGCGTTTAAATTTGATCACATTTTAGTGAAAGGGACATAACGTTGGTCTCATGCGTAATTTCGAATCAGAGTTAGTGAGAATAATATGTTTACTTGTTGAGTAGCTTAATATGCGTGCATGCCCATAACATTTTAATGCAGCCTACGAGTTTCACCACGGTCCTGTGCAGTGATTTTTTAACACTGATTTTGAAAGCAAAACTCTCTAAGTGAACTGTCCCTTTCAAATAGAACATGTGTTTGTTACAAAAAATGTAAGATAGTAGAATGACTAGGACTTCTCCATATTTTCCCATTGCTACCACTGTTTTCTGAATCACTTTGGTGAATGAAATTTGTTACCTTTCATAGTAATAGCAGCATGAGTCCATTTGTGGTAAGGGATGGATAGTGCATTCTTATGTTTTTGGTAGTGTTGCCACCATTGATCCATTGTTCTAACACTTAATTAGCTGAACTGATCTTAGTTGTTTGTTTAATTCTCTCCACATTCGTGAAGCTTACCCATGTCTCGTCCCCAGTCACAATTCTGTCAAGAAATTCGTTTCCCTTTTCTTTGTAGCGCTCAAGAAAACTTAATGCCGTGCCCATTCTTTTCGTTTTGTGGATGTCAGTAAGTTGTTTTGGTATCCATCGTGCGCAGTACTTACGAAAACCCAATCTGTCTGTGACAATTCCATAAAGAGTCGACCTTGAAATTTGGGGAAAATCATCACTAAGTTCAGAAATCGTGAAACGGCGTGTGTCACGAACGACTCGTTCGATTTTGTGAACAAGTTCATCACTCACAATTGAATGTCTCCCTTTTCCTCCCTCGTCGTGCACATCCGTTCGCCCTTCTTTGAATTTCCTGCACCATTCTCTCACAGAACCGTCACTCATTACATTTTCGCCGTAAACTCGACACAGCCGACGATGGATCTCAGCGGCAAAATTTCCTTCTGCTTGCAGAAAACGAATGACACTATGTACCTCACAACTGGCGGGAGCAGCAACTATAGCCTCCATCTTACACCACGCACTACTCAGGCAGTATTGAACAAATTGGCGGCCAAGTTGATGTGCAACGAGGTGAAGGTTTGCTGATGTCGACTGCGCATAAGCTATGTTGCTATGGCAACTGGTTTGTTTTTCGCGCCCGACCGGAGGTTAATTTTTGAATTGCCCTCGTACATGTGTATAGTGTAACATTTACAAATAAAACTTATCTACATCTTTTACCCTAGAGGTGGAAATAATTTCTTCTGAACATTAATAAGGCACAATGTCATAACCCAGAAGAACAGTTCTAAAACCTTATTGTAATTACAGGAATGGTTAACTCAAACGGGACAGTGGGAGCAGTCCTTGAGAAGAAACTTCAGCCATTACCATTTTCCTTTGAACTGAGTGGTACCCTGAATCACAGCAAGAATCAGTTCAGACTCGGGTGTGGCATCACCATTGCGTAATTAAGTGTGAAAAGTTTAGCAATATTTAAAATGTTTATTAAATAAATACAATTCTTGTCTATATAATGTTCCTTTCTATTATTAGTTTCTAAAAGTTCATTGTAATTTTGTTGTGTTTCATGTACCAATTACAACCCTTAAAATTTCCATGATACTGTATCCTGTACTTGCCTTGTACTATTGGAAATATTACATGGTATGTTGCCATGGCGTTAACAGCAGGGTAGAACTTGGAGTCTTCCAAAAATGGTATGTGGTATACAAGATAATATGAATGTATAGTAGCTGCATGAAACATATCTTTGGTGATACAGTAAAACCTCTCTAAGTTTGACACTTGGGGTTCCACGAAAATTTGTCCAACTTACAGAGGTGTCCAAGATAGAGGGAAAGGGAAAAATCGGATTGTAGTCCAATGACAATATAATCTATTTACGTACGTACACTAACTACTCTAGGCTTACTACAATTAAGAATTAATGACAATAGTATTAATAATAATCTTTTGAAGCCCACTCCCATGCATTGCACATTACACCCCAGCCTCAATAACATCTTCTAAAGTTCGATGTCCATAAGATAATCCTCCAGAGAGGAGACATTCATCAGTCAGAAATTCAAAATAACATGCAATGCATTCCAATGATGGGTTCAATGTCCATAAGATAATCCTCCAGAGAGGAGGCATTCATCAGTCAGAAATTCAAAATAACAAAATATGTAACTGAAAAAGTTTCCCTGAAAAGCATCGGAGCGAAGTGCATGAACCTGTCCAACTGACAACAAAAGGAGTGTCCAAGATATAGGGTATTGTGGACAAGTAAAATTATAGGATATTTGCCAGTTCCAATTAAAAGTGTCCAATATAAAGGGGTGTGTCCAACTTGAGGGGTTTTACTGTACTTATTCATATGAATTTCCAGACTAGGGATTGTAAAGCTTAAATTACAAAATCAGGATCCTGTCCTCAAACTAAGCTTAGCTTATTAAATGTTTTGCTTTGTTGAAATACAATAATAAAGTTTCCTCTAGTTTGTGTGTTTTGTCCACAAAGAGAAGAAAACATTCTCAGAATTATAGCAGAAAAACAATTTTGTGTCTGCAGCAAAGGAACAAATTTATGTCCATTATGATTAGATTAGAGATAGGAAACTGCATGAACCAGAGTTCTTTATGAGAAACCATTAGTTGCTCAGCTAGTCAAATTCCCTTTTAATGGAACCTGGAGGTCCATTATCAAATTTATAAGAGCCAGCTGCGTGAATCCAGTCTACACCCTCGCTCATTTTATTGTGGTCCATTTAATCTTACTTTTTATATTATCACTCCAGCTATGCCTAGGACTTCTAAGTGGTATGTTTCCTTTAGTATTTTCACTTACACTACTTCTAATCTCGCATACATGCTACACATCCTGCCCATCTCATATAATTCTAATAATGTTTGGTGAATTGTGCCCTGCAGTCTGGTGGTGAGACAGGAATATTTTTTTCTTTTACTTCCAGATCAACTTCCTTACTAGAATCTAATGGAGATTATGTTTTTCTTTATGATACAGCTCGTCCAAGTGCTGTTTACCAACATAAGAAAAGGTGAGTTTTGAGGTTATGTTGATTGTCTGCCTACCCAGTACATTTATGATAATAAATTCATGCTAATGTGAATGAAGCATAAAATATGACCTGCCTTTCCATTATTCTGTCTTCTGTAACAGTAACTTGTAGCACTGGTGATGATGTGGGTACATGGTGATTGAGTGTAAAATTGTGCGTACACAGTCGTGTAACCATCATTCTATCATCTGACATTTTTATACATGACCTTATGCAAGACACTTCCTCCTGCATTTTTTCCAGCCGGTAGATACACAGGTATATAAACAGACAGCAGTATCCTCAGCCCCACTTGTCATTCATTTGTTAAATTAACAGCATTTTTGCTATTGCCCAATGCATATTGTCAGCATAGACCAGGAACTGCTGTAACCCATTCAGTTCTAGTTCCTGCTTGTTATCTTGGATCTATCTGATGTACTCTAAAGCAAACTTGGAAAGAAAATATGATAAGGCATCTCCTTGTTTCAGAACACATTTTCATTAGTCTAATTAGTTTCATGTATATGAATTCAGTATGCATTATGATGAAGAAATATATTCCTTTTTTTTTGACATAATGTGTGTCATAAAGTAGAATATGCTTATGTAGGATTTGCTTTTTGATGATGGTGAATATGAAGGCGGTTGCCTTCTGTGCTGTTGCGCCAAGTAGTCTGGTAGAACTTTACCGACGTTTCAGATGTTCTTTCTGCCATCATCATCAGGGCGATGACTCATCACTTACCGAACGTCGTGGTCGAGTGATTAACACACCTTTGTATTCGGGAGGTTCCGGGTTCAAATCTCGGTCCAGAGACCGGCTATCCTGACTCCTTCCAGACAAATGCCGGGATTGGATTGTTACTTAAATTAGGCCACGAACTCTTCCTTCCGCATCCTTTCCAATTCACTCTCATTCGACACTATACAGAGTGTCCCGGGAGGAAATTTCAAGATTTCATCAGTTGAATCTTTGGGTAATTCTAAGTGAAACATTTCATATCAACATGGGTCTGATTCGTAACGGTTAAAGAGATAATGCAGGTTTCTGTATCACCACCTACACATCTCAATATGACACGTGCTCGGACTTGTTACGACTATTGGGTCAGTGAGTCAGGGTATGTTTAGTCTGAGTTGTGTATTCAGAGTGAAGGTGCAGTGAAGTAATAGTTTTAGTGTAACATCTCGAACAAAGCCGGCAGTTTTCTCATTATGAAGAATAAGCAGACATGGTATTTGTGTACGGGTTTTTGCGATGGAAATGCCGCAGCTGTAGCAGAAAACATTCTGGACTAGTATACAGGTATTTAGTTTGCTTGTATTTGGTATTTACCACAATTATCAATAGTAATCTAAGATCAGCCTTTTTTTCCTAAAAGCAGAGATTTGCATATCTCGGTAACCGTTACGAATCAGACCCATGTTGATATAACATTTTTTACTTAGAATTAGCCCAAGAATCAACTGATGAAGTCTTGACGTTTCCTCCAGGGACACAATAGTCAGAGTTACTGAAAAAGCGTCGTTAAATAAATTATCACTTTACCGATAATGTTTGTATGTTGTCTGCATTAGCAAGAGTTCTGAAGAAGTCACGGGATAGAATCATTTTTATGGACACAGTCACTCATTACCTACCCCATTATCTTATGCTAATTCTGTTGTTGATTCTCCATTCTCAAAATTTTGAGGTAACCAAAGTATTTGTTGTACAGTCATTACAATTTTCAGCCATCTTGGTAAGATCCACAAGAGTTAACTATCATTTTCACATCACTGAATCATAGTACAGTCTAACAAAATTTACTGCATGACACCATCATAACCATTAGAACAAGCCTCTCCACCCCACCACCAATATTGACTCTAAAGCACAAAAAAAGTATTTTTTAACCATACCAACCAGCTCCCCTGAAAGGGTGCAGAAGTTGTCTAAAGTGTAGTTCAGATGCATATGCATTTATGTAAGAAAACAAGGTTAATGCATGGATAATCAGGATTTTAGTGTAATTAAATCTCTATTATGGTCTGTTAGTTATTCCTAGTAATATAAATTTCATCAACAGACTAATAGGCATGAGTCGCAAAGAAAAATTGTAACACTACTTTAAATTGTCTTCATGTCATTTTGAGGACTGTACCCTCCATAACCAAGCTCCAAGGTCACAGTATTTGCAGCTTTAACAATGGAGGTCAGGTTCGTTGAATGTTTTGTGGGAATTTTCACTTCAGCCTGTTGAAACATATTTATTTATTTCAGATCAGTGAGTTTCTTTTGTTACTACATTTTTTAAAAAAATGCAAATACTTTTGTAATTCATTTACCGTGGCATTTTATTATTTTAATAAATTAATAAACTCCCTGTATTTAAAATTATTCTTCACTGAATAGTTAAAAGTATACCCTGCTATAAATTTACATTATATGCATCTTACATTTTTGTTAAATGTAGCTGAAAGCTAAAACTTCATGTTTTTGAAATCAAGGCCTTAGTTTGTTTAGTTTGTGAGAAAATACAGTGTAAGTTGGTGTGTTGTGTATACATGATGATTTTGCACTGCAGCTTTGACCTTGAAACCTAATGCAATTAATGTGGGAATTTCTTATTGAAATGTTCAGATTGCTCAGAAATATGTTTGAAAAACTTCTACACATTGTAAAGGGTCCTCTTATTCAGAATTTTTACGACAGATTTCCTCTGTCTGTCCAGCATCACGCGTGTTACAGCTAAGGACATTTCAGGTTTATCTGCCTTATCACCTCAGAAATCTAACACACAAAACAACATATCGTGAACTTACGAAAAAGAAATTTCACAGCACAACAATGTTACAGTTTGCTTAAGATTGCAGACACTTCAGACAAGCAACTCTGTGGTGTTAAGAGGAGTTTGGTGACAGCTTCTATAATTATTTATTTTAATCCGTCTTATCACAATATTTAAAATTTCTTATAATTAAGATAATAAAATATCATTGATGTTCCATATCGATTGATCGATTTACATTTTGGAACATCCTTTACACAACATGTTTCAGTTTTTATAAAACCATCTTCAGGTGTAAAAGATTTACGAACTTAAAACTCAAATATGATTCCATTTGGTGATGTTTCATGCCATTTGTTTTTCAATTTTGGGCGAGGTGTTGTCTTTTCTTAAATTTTATCAGATGTACATATCGGTCCTAGATGTAGGAGTGATTGTTCCGATATGTCCAGAAGTACGACTGTCATCGTATAGGTGTGGGTCAATACTTCTATAAACTAGTGTATTATTTATATCAGGCAAATGTCAGTCAATGAATAAGTGAAGGGTTGCAATAAAAGTGTCAAATGCCGGTAATGATTTTTGTCTTTAATTTCTGGGTGTAAGTTACGCTGAATGTTAAATATTTCTGTTGTTTTCAGGGAGCCCATTTTTTGGAAATGGCAGTGGGAGGTGAGTGACATGAGAAGCTGGATACTATAAGATGGGGAGTGATCATGTGGTTAAGGAAAAGAGGTGATGAAAATGTCGAAAAAATGGGATAAACGTGATAACAGGACCA